CCGGGTCCTGTCACGGTCGCCATATTTAGCAATTTCTAATTATGACCTATAATTAGGAATTAGTCAAATGCAGACCGATGAAATGGAATAAGACTTATAAAAAGATATATGACTCTGACAAAAACGTCTGACAAATCTATTTTTTTTTTATTCTCTCTATCAAAACATATTACAAAATTCATGGCAACAACAACAATACAAAATACAACAATATTTAACAATGTGGCTGATATAGCATCATCCCTATTTCAGATATGATGTCATCATTAGTTTTTTCAAATGGGACCACTATTATTAAATAGTACCAATTAATTAGATGTAAAAATTACCAAAAACCTTTTATCTCAAAAATATTGTTATATAAAATATCACAAAATTTGACGTCCGTACGCAAAATAGTGCTCTTTTAATTGGTACTATCAAAAAAGTATGTTGTCGTTAAAGAAAGTAGTGATGATGTAAAAAGATCTCGAATTTGATTATTAGTTGTGTATTATTTAGCATTACTATTCGAGATATGACGTCATTACAAGATTTTTAATGGCAATAGTACCATTTAAAAGATCACATCTTTTTTGTAAAGGCTCACCAAATTTCATCACATCTTACAATACAATACTTTTAGTCATTGCTACGAATGTTAAAGTGTAAGAATTTTTTTCCCAAGAATATGTTTGTGTAACATATTACAAATTTTGGCGACTATACGCGGAAAAATGTGCTATTTTAATTGGTACTATCAGATAATGGTAATACCAGTTGAGAGAAAAAATTCGAATTGATAGAGAATTTTTTGTTATTTGTCCAATGAAACTAGAAATTTGGTGTTTTATCAATATGTCAAACGGTAACCCCAGTTATTAAACTTGATTTTATGCTCATTTAAGCCTTTAAGTAAATTTTGGATGAAGGTAATTTAGGATAAATAGACATAAAATCAATTTTAAAATCTGGATTGTCCGATTGACAGGAAAATTCTGAGACTCCCTCTATATTTAGGAAACAAAATTTCCTTATAATTGTTATAGAGGAACCGTAATAACTAAAATATTAAAACTATTCTAAAGGAAGTTTCATCATTATCATTATCGATTGTAAAGGTATTGTTTAAAACGAATAGTCCAATTAAACCGTTTCCTATTATCTTGGCTCCTAATGAGAAATTTACGCTGATATTTCGCTTGAATAATCGCTTGTAGATTTTCCTTATTCCGTCCTTGTGAGTTATTCAGATACATTTCCTGATAAATCTACTTTATTCGTAAATAATAGTTACTCTCACAAAATGGTTGACCATTTTATTATTCCTTTTAAAACAAATTTACTTATTAAGAGATTTCGAACATGAAGTTACAGAAAACCAAAAATATTAATAAGATCTTACTGCTCGAGTGAAAAATATGGAATAGAGGTACAAATTGATATGTTGGTCCAATTCGATGACCTGCTGATTCCCTTTCACTTGCTCCCAAACTATCAGGTTTGCATTTTTTTATGGGTATTCTTTTAAATTGGAATTTTTGGGAATTCTGCACAAACGGCTTGCCTAAAATTAAACATTGTTTTCTAGTTCCTAACTAGAGGATATGTGTCACTAAAAACAATGCGAGAGTATTACTCTAGCATTTATAGTTTACCTTTTAGAGCGTTATAAAGAGCGGCATGTCTTGTCGTTAAAGCCTATACTCCCATGTTTTAGAGTGCTTTAATTTCGCGAGGTGTATGGGCCGAACCGAGCAACAAACCACGCCGAAATTTTGTACACCTATACACATTTGGTAGAAATAAATCCTTAACCATTCTCCGACATCCTCATATATTCTCGGAAATCCTCATAAAACCTTCATACATCCTCGGTGTTCCTCAGACGTCCTTTATACTTCCTTTGAAATCCTCATACGCCCTCCAACTTTCTGTATCGTGTTCTAATGTGCCAGCATGTTAGAAGTTCATATATAATAAAAATTTAACATATAATAAAAGTAAATAATTTAAGGATACAGAATACTATTTTTTAAATTATATCTTCACAATATGTTTCTCAAATCGTATCATAAAGTAATCTACTTGCCGCCTTTGGGTGACAATGAGACTAAGTGCCACGGTAATATCTTTTTTTTATGAAAAAAATTTAATCAAATTTGAACATCATTTCGAATTGACAAATATACCATATTGTTAGGAATTTGGATATAAAACAAAAACAAACACTAAAACTCTAATTGTTACCAGCGGCAAATACAATCCGAGCGTTTCGGTGATCGTATCAAGACTGACTGATCCCCATACGATCGGTAGCGGCTAAACACATTTAGAGTTTAATAAATGAATAGTCATCTTTTTTTTATTGGAATAATTATACAAGAATTAATAATCAAAATTGAAATAATTCAACAAAAATTAATATTGAGAACAGTGGATCTAACAATATACTTAAACAATATGACCGACTCCCGGTTTTACCAGACATGATATTAAGTTTGATTTTTAAATGGAACATCGTGAATATTTATGTTTTTTGGAGTATACAAGTCAAATTACATATGGCAATGTTGCCAGTTTTGAATTTTTCTAAAATATTTTGTTATATTTTTATATCAAAAGCCATGAACTGAGAAATAATGTGGTGCATATTGTCGGATTGATAATAAAATAGATGTCATTTAAACAAGTCATAAAAATAATTTTAAAAAACCGACTTCAAAATCGTGCAAAAGCCATCACCACATCTTGACCAAATTTATAATGGACTACCCCTGAGGTACCCCCTTACTAACAAAAAAATAATCATAGAAATCGGATAACGTGGTAAAGATTTACCGCTAAACATACATAAAAAATTAAGAGATTAAGGATTTTCTAATGGACTCAATTATTAGATTTTGACCATATTTATATGGGACCACTCCTGAATAACCCCCTTTTTTTAACAAAAAACAAATTATTTAAAGCAGACACCATATTAAAGAATTATCGCTGAACATACATAAAAAAAAATATTACGACAAATTGAGAACCTCCTCCTTTTTTGAAGTTGATTAAAAAAATGAGTTTTTGGTAAAAATTACGTTTTAGAAATTTGTTTTCTATCAAAAGGATGTATTTTAAATTCAATTGGTAAAATTGGTTTTATATCGAAATATTCAAGGCTATTTAAACATTATTTCCCAGTTTATGACCTTCTAACCCAAAAAAACTCACAGAGATAATGTACCACTAAGACACTAAGACCATTATCAAGTGCCACTAACTTACGACCTGGACAAAGATCTGGCGGAAGTTCTGCAAACACACGTGAGAAAGGCCAAAATCTACATACGGGACTTTATCCTAATAACATCTCAATCAGCTTTGACATCATATCTTCTTTATTCACTCGAAGAAGTAGTCAGCTACATAGGGGAGTTTTTTCCAGATCTCATCAATCTTTTCCGACATTCGCTCACAACATCATATTTCCAGTGGAACAAATTGACGGAGTTACAAAGGGCAGTCTACTCAGCCCAGTTGTGGCCAATTTCTACATAGAAAAAATTTGAAAATAGGGGTATTTGTACTGCTGTTCTCACGTCGCCTATGCACAATTTTCTTCTCGTCAAGATCAGCTTGCGCTTCTTCTGGGATCCACAGAGAGACTTTGGTGATATTATGTAGCTCGTCTACCCTCACAACAGCGAGTAGTACATTGGTTTTAAGTCATTCCAACGTCAGGTCTACGTTACTGTGATGATTTTACAAGAGTGCTTTCAAGACCTGAATGTGAGTGGCTTAATTTTGTTGCAGCAGTTAAACAAAATTGTTATGTTCAGCTATTCCATGGGTGTCTTTTTGACAAGGATCTCTTTTTCGGTAGTTATTGTAATGTAATCCTTCTCTATTTATCCTTCTCTACTTTAGCGTATTTAGGTGGCTTATGGCTGCAATTATGTATCTTATCCAAGACAGAATATTTTGGTCTTGTCTTGGTTTTTTCCTCTCCGGGGCGTTGCCTCGGAAGAGGTGCCAGATCGCGGCCGTTTCTTGTTTCTAGTTACATCTTGTTCCTGGCATCTTGTGTAAGAATAACAAGCGTAGCTGTCTAAGGATTCGATTAAGCCGTTTTTGATTGGTTTCGAGTGAGAGCGTTTGCTATAAGGGTGGCAATTTTCGTAGCTCTGTCTGCCTGCAGCTTATACTGCGTCCTCCTCTTGCTTTAGGCCCTAAGATCCTCTTGTCTGTCTAGGGTTTGTCAGTTGGAAGTAAACTACGTTGTCTATCCTCCTTTTTGGAGGTGGACGTCACTGTCCAGCTTCCTGCGCAAATGTTGAACTCTTTTATCCAGCCTACTTTACTGGTGGTAAGTGTTGACGGTAATTTTTGTTTTTTAGAAATGGCAGATTACTATTCAGCCTTCTGCACGGGAGTTATACTTTGTATAGCTAAAGGTAAGCGTTTACGTTATGCCTCCTTAGGTTGTTGTTGTTGTTGTTGTTGTTGTTATTGTTGTCTGCGCGGGAGTTTCACTTTGTTGTATAGCTTCCTTCGCTGGAGGTGAGCGTTTACGTTGAGCCATATGGTTCCCACGAGTAGCTAAGGAAGGAAAGTTCGACCGACGCACAGCCTTCGCAAATGATTTTAAGGGTTTTAATTTTCTCTCACTCTACTTAGGTATACTACTAACAAGGAAAATCCTAGTTTTTGAACTGGATAATACTAGTGAGCTTTCATTTTGCTTACCAAGTAAAAATAGCGTTATTTTTTACTTTCCAATCTCACTTAACCATGATTTAGGTATATGAGTGAATTTTATGTCTTTCGATTCCATTAAATATTGGAATTAAGAGTGTCAGTTTCTCATTGCCCAATCCTAATAATATATAAATATTTTAAATTAAATTTTCTTTGTACATAATTCAATATATTTCATTATCTGAAATATGTAGAAACTAATATAATTTTTAAATTCATATATGACAATTAACCTATTTTTTTTTATTAATTTTGGATATTTTTAATTTTAGGTCAATTTTGAGCTTTCTGACATTCATCGTTTTACTTTCTACAAGTTACGATATATTTTGTCAAAATAACAAGAAAGGTAAGATAATTTATGTATTGAATAGTTTGCTGAAAAAGTAGGTAATAGAAAATATTCGATGTTATAAGCGTCATTTTGATGCCAAACAAGTTTACTATTTTATATTGAACCTATGATTTACTTGACGTATTGATACGTCGTTGCGGTGTCTACTACACTTATTAGGATGCACAAATTAATTTTGTTCCAATAATAATGTTTAATTTTTAACATTTCCAAAAGAAATTAATATGTATTTAAATATGTATTATTAATTAAAACTATAGGTATGTAAATAAGTTTACTATAAAATCTGTTTATTGTAAATCTCGACTAAAGTTTTGTGTTGGTTAGTTTAGTACCAATAATATAGTTAGAGGTAAAGATATTCTTTCTCTTTCGGTACAACAAAGGGATTTATATACAGGGTGTCTGTAAAAGGTCTTTACAAAAACATACCACATATTCCTTAGTTAGACCAAAATAAGTCGATTTAAGTAAAATTACCTTAGTACAAAGTTGCTTCGTTTGGGCTCCAGAGGGCCTTAAAGTTACAATTTTTAAATCGTTTTCCCATATAAATTAAAACGGCATATACGATTTTGCTGAAATTTGGTATATTGGTAGAGTTTTATGTGGCAAAAAAAAAATGGATTTTGAGTATGAAATTTGCGCAACTAATTTACTTTAAAAAAGGTACTCTTGATAAGACTCGATTACTCTCATGGTTTTGACGAAATTTGCATTTTAGTAATTTTAGAACATAAACAATAAAATTATTAAAATACAAACTTTGTCAAAACCATGAGAGTAAATCGAGTGTTATTAAGGGTACTTTTTTGTAGTATCCAATCCAATCCAATCCAAATTTCATACTCAAACCCCTTTTTTGCCATTGGCGTAGAATTTTTAAAGGTGCAATTATTTAAAAAATCAAGTTCTACGCCTATGTATTATTATCGGACAAAATTTTATACGATGAAAAACATAAAAATTTACTTTTTTCATATCTTCTTCTACACCTCTAATCGAGACTTTTAACAAAAATACTCGATTCTTGCCATGTACGATTTTTTGAGGAATATTAATTATTTGCCTGCAATACGTATACAAAAACATTTATTGTTGGTTTCCATAGTTTCATCTAAATAAAAATATTGTCAAGTTTTAACACCTAATCTCTTGTTAACGATTGAAAGTATTCTATCTGACTCAATAATTAAAAAAACAAATGCGTGGTTTATTAATATGGCTGTACAATATACTAATGCAGAATATACCGATATGTTACTGACATTAGGATTTTGTGAAGGAAATGCTCGAGAGAGTGTCCGGGTGTACTATGAAAGGTTTCCAAATCGTCGTGAACCTAGCCACCCAACTTTTGCTGCTGTTGAGAGACGTCTTCGGGAGACCGGTTCCTTTGCTCCCAACACTGTTGATAATGGAAGGGAACGTTTTGTAAGGATTCCTGAAGTTAAAGAAGACATTTTAGAACGTGATGAAGAAGATCCAGAATTAAGCACCAGACGTATTGGAAGGGAACTAGGAGTAAGTAAAGATGTCGTTCATAAAGTGCTTAGAGAACAATTGCTTTATCCATACCATAAGAAGCCAGTACAAGAATTATTAGTCCATGATCCTCAAATTCGTTTGGGTTTTTGTTGATTTGTTAATATGCAAAGAGAAAGAGATCCAAACTTTGTCAAGAAGGTTCTCTTTACCGATGAAGCAGGTTTTACAAGAAGAAGTATAACTAATACCCATAATGAACATGTTTATGCCGTTGAAAATCCGCATGCAATAAAGGTAAACCATTTTCAGCACGAATTCCAAATTAATGTGTGTTCTGAAATAATTGGTAATTTCATTGTTAGTCCTGTCATACTTTCACGAAGATTAACTGAAGAAAATTATTTGGATTTTCTACAAAATACGTTGCCAGAATTGTTAGAAGATTTACCTCTCCAACTTCGGAGAGATATGTGGTTTATGCAAGATGGAGCTCCACCACATTTTTCTTTAAACGTTAGAAACCATTTGAATGAACAATATCTACACAAATGGATAGGCAAAGGTAATGACGCACCTGTAAACTGGCCACCACGTTCCCGAGACCTAACACCGATGGATTACTTTTTATGGGGACATCTAAAATCCACAGTTTACAGGGAACCTGTAGAAAATGAGGAACAACTCTGGCAACGTATTCAAGATGCAATAAACAATCTTAGAGGTGATGAAGAAGTTATGGAAAGGATACATTTTAATTTTCTTCGACGTATAAATCTTTGTATGCGTGAAAATGGTGAACATTTTGAACAATTTTTGTAAAATCTCTATTTTGATTATGTTGTAAATAAATATTTTTGTGAAACCTATACACTCCAAATAATTAAAACAGAAATTTAACGAAAACCATGAGAGTAATCGAGTCTTATCAAGAGTACCTTTTTTTAAAGTAAATGAGTTGTGCAATCTAAATTTCATACTCAAACTCCTTTTCTTCCATTGGCGTAGAATTTTTAAAGGTGCAATTATTTAAAAAATCAAGTTCTACGCCTATGTATTATTATCAGAAAAAATTTTAATACCATTTTTTTGCCACATAAAGTTCTACCAATATACCAAATTTCAGCAAAATGGATTATGCCGTTTTAAATTTATATGGGAAAAACGAAAACGAAAAAAGGCCTTCTCTGCCTATCCAACGGTTTCGATAGACGTTATTCAGGTGGTCCCGTACAGCGACGCTAAAGTGAGGTGAGGCTCCATCATGCATAAAATACAAAAATTTATTGGCGTTAGGACGGAAGACCGTGGAGGCCAGGCCATTGGACCTCCTCTGCTTATGCAAAAAATTGCTGATTATTTCTGCCCAAACATTAATTGATTGGAACTGATGTTAATAATGATGAAGAAAATCGGCATGAGGATTTTCATCAGCCCATACATGCGAGTTATGTAAATTTACAATACCATTTTTGGTAAACCCTGCCTCATCGGTAAAAGGTCTGTTTCAACAACGATCAGAAACCAGTCACTTACACCAGGATTCTGCGCAGTTGAATATTTCGACCGCCAAATTATATACTGCGCAGAATTTGGTGTCAGAGACTGGTTTCTGACTGTTGTTGGAACAAATCTATAAAGAACAGTGCTAATAAAATTTCCGTTTGTTCGTTGCTGATTTAACAGCCAGTTTGCGAACAAGATTCTTCGAGGAAAATCTTCAGGCAGTAGTTCAAATGATGAGGATATAACAACTGTTCTTTAGGTACTTGAGCAATTGTCGTTTTTGACACATGAAGCTGTATCCAAAATATTTTCCTCCAGTTGCACCGTACGTACTGTTCTTGTCACACCAGCATCAGTACTTGTTTTCCCAAAACTTCCTAAAAAATATTAAAGAAAGTCAATAATGTTACCTTATTAACTGGAGCCCAAACGAAGCAACTTTGTACTAAGGTAATTTTACTTAAATCGACTTGTTTTGGTCTAAGGAATATGGGATATGTTTTTGTAAAGACCTTCTACAGACACCCTGTATAGACATCCACAACCGAAGTCTAGGGACGGATCTAATTAGTTGTATGTTGTGATTTAATTTAAGATTATTGTATATTTCAAGTGAAAATGTTATACGCATTTAAAAATTATCACATTAATAACATAATTTTCTAACTTTAGTTAAGTATTTAATAAATGTTACTAAATATTCGCGACTTGCAATCAAAATCGCCATGAAACTATATTTTTTTCATCTACTATTTATTTGATTTAATTGAAGTATTTAAAGATTACATTAAATATTAAAAATCAATGTAGGATGTTACGTAAAAAGCTTGAAGAACTGTTATTTATATCCTCTTGTTATAAAAAATTTGAATGATTTTGGAATGTATTAGTCTGGCTTTAATTTTTAAAGTGATTAAAGCACGCAAGTCTTCTCACCACGACAAGGTTACATTCCTAGAAAAGGAAAGCAGGAACAATATCATGTTCCTTTCCAAAATAACGTGAACCAACAGATACGTGGATACATCTAAAAACGTAAAAATATGACCAAAATGGAAAATCAAATCTCATCAGAACTATAATCTTCACTTGACGTGTCATTCAGGATTATAATGCAAGAATGAGTTGGAAATACTGTAAATAGAGCTGTGGGATTCAAGTTAAATGAAAGTCCACCTTCTGGATAATTTTATTAGGAACTTGATACAATTGAAGTTTTAATATACAGGGTGTCCCAAATTGTTTTACCTATGCTATAACTTCTAAACCATTCAAGATAATCGAACCGGATAAAAGTCATCCATTATAATTTGCGGTGTAATTTGAAACAAATTAAAATTTGATGACCCATCCTCAAAAACTACCCCGCTGGAACAACACCCCATTTTTTTTTCTGCTCATTTTTGTAGTCGCTACTTTTCTCTGTACAACTATTTTTAAAATTTTGAAATCGCTCCATAATTAAGTGAGATTCATTTTTTTTTATTTTCATCAAGTTGCTTGCTGTCAAATTCATGGTAAGTGTTCTGGCGCAATATAAACAATACTATAATAATATGTCTCTTGTTAAACAGAAGTACAGCTTAAATACTCGATAACATTAGCAGTTTTTACTTGATAAATTTTGCAATAATTTAGAGTTTGTCAAGTCCTAACAAATTATTTTAAAATGCCCCTACTGTGTTTAGTTCAAACGAGTACACCGATATGATAATTATTTACGGCGAATGTCGCAAGAATTCAAGACAAGCTAGACAATTATTATACTATGAACGTTTTCCGAATAGAACAATTCCCTCGGAACGTTTTCCAATTTAGAAAGAACTCTTAGACAAGGACATTTTCCTGACGGTAAACATCATGGAGGACACAACAGAATGATCAGAAATGAAGAAAATATTATAGACGTTTTGGCTTACGTTCATGTAAATCCACATGTTTCTATCAGAAATTTGGCACTCGAAATTGGAATAAGCAGAAGTAGCATCCAAAGAATATTAAAA